CATGATTGACAATCAATGATTTTACTAATCGCAAATAAAATCAAGAAAATAATAGAGAACATCTTTTTTTTTTGCTATAAAAGTAAAACGAAATATACAAGTATAGAGTCACAAATGAAAATGTACATGTACGTTTATACAAAAAATTAAGCCAATTTATACACAAATGTTTACGATTATATAATAAAGACATAAAGCATATTTTGAATGATTTAATGACGAGAAAAGAAAAAGACAAAAAGTGTTTGTATGATTGAATCAACATTACATTGTCTAAATAGTTATTTATCGATCATCAATATGTTTGAACATGACTTAAGTAGTGAATACAAATATAAGCCAAAACAATCTCTTTCTTTTTTTCTACTCTCAACTATACGTAGAGATATTTAAGTACAATCCTTTTATCATTGAGAAATTAGCCATGAATTGCATTCCATCGAGAGAAGATCATTGAGTGCAAATCAATTATTGTACGATCAAAAGACTTTTCTTTTTTTTGTTTTTTAAGAACTAATTATATGATCAAGATTTGAATAGAATAAAAAATTGTATTTAATTAATGAAATCAAAGTTTTCTTTTTTTTTTTTAATTGAAATAAATATTGTTTTAAAAATTACTAAAATTCAAGAATAAATGAGTAAAAAACAAGCTATTTGTTTTATTATCAAGTTTATATGTCTATAATATCATCATTAATATATGAATTAACATTCATCAATCAAATCCAAATGATGAAGACATTTACGGATTTTTTTATCAAACCATTTTTTGAATGGCATTGCTCTCAGCCATAAATAAGGAAGAGCTTTATAACCATGTCTTGCTCCATACATAGTTCCACATACTGCTCCATTAGTATCAGCATCACCTCCATACCTAATAAGATCATTTAATGTCTCTTCAAATGAACGTGTAGATCTTAATCCATAAAAACCCGATGCTAAACATTTATATGTATAACCAATACTTCTTGGTTCGTCAAGGTTAAGTTCTTCTAGTGTACGTTCTTTATCTATATGCCATAAGAATAATTCACGATGTTCGTCAGAAAACTCATCACCAAGTATTTCGATAGTTTCTTTTTTAACACGATTTATTAATGATTCAATATCATTTTGATCGAATTCTTCTTTTAAAAGGTAAGTAATAGTCAAACAAACAGCAAGACAGGAAGCAATGCATCGAGGATCAAAATGAGTCGTTTTACACATCAATTTAGTCGTTGATATGACCTTTTTAAATTGAAATATATTATGAAATATTTTAATAAAAATGTACATTGAGAAAACGTATGTTCTTACGAGAAAAATACTCAATGATACTTATGTATATTTTTCCTTGAAATCCCAAATTTTTCAATGTAATGGCTGTATCAAATTCTGATACTTAAATTCAATGACTAACTCTACTCGATTACGATTGAAATTAGAAAAAAAAAAGGTTAACCATCGAAATTATACTTCGAAGGTCCTATCATTTTTTTTGACTGGAAATATTGATCTCGGTTCTATACTGTAGGCTTGCAATGAAAAAGTGATTCTGTATATTCAACATATGAGTTCAAATACAATTAATCATTTCAGATACTATTTCGAACGTTTCATTAAAAAAAGAAAAGTATGAATAATATATATATCAAATTTTGATACTTATAGAATTTAAGAAATTTTTCAACATTAT